CAAGAACTTAACCACTACGCCACTGGGTCAGCCCCAGAAGGGTTATTTTTTTTTTTTTTTTTTTTTGCTGTCTGTCCTAAATCTCTTCCTTCTGAAAACTTCTCTACTTAGTATGATTCTATGAGGGTGTTCATCACAGGGTGGGCAAATCAAAATACCCCATTACTCTATCTATTGTGGGTGGCCCTGTGGTGGGCATGTAACCCCAATTAAATCAGCATTCTCTAGGGGGAGTTAATGTGGATTCTGAGAATGAGAATCGTCCCTTCTCCTTTTAAGAGAGTAACCTAGAAGATTCCAGCAGCCGCCTTTCCTAGAACATTAAAAAGTCCTGACCAAGAATGAAGCCAACGATAAGGAAAGCAGAACCAAAAGATAAAAGTGAAGGGAAAAGGACAGAAGGAGAGAGAGATCCCCAAAATATCATTTAAGCTCATAAATCTACCATGGCTGAATCAGGTTATTACTTGACTTAACAATTAAAGCAACCATTAAATTCTTCCCCTGGTTCAGCTAATTCAACTTTTTTTTTTTTTTACCGAAACTGAGAGTACTGAATAACACAGAATTAACGGGGCAGGGGGTGGGGGGGATCATCAATGTGCAAAGAACATGAGTATTCAAATGATGCAAAAAATGTAAATATCTTTAAACATATTTTTCAAAGCTTAACTCCACCAGAAATAAAAGGAATACAAATTAAAACACCAGCAATATACCATTTTTATGTTGATGTGGAAATGGGAAAATAAGCACTCTGACATACTTCTGGTGGGAGTGTAAAACCAATCTTTCTGCAAGTTAATTTGTCTTTCTACAAGTCTATCAAATGGCTTAAAAATACTCAGAACCAAAATAAATACTGTAAAGATATTTTTGCTCCCTAAATTATTTCAAAGTTCAATGAAATCCCAATCAAAATTAATTTAGGAATAACTTGACAACCTAATTCTAAAGTCTATCTCCTGGTTAAAAATAAATAAATAAATGCCTATTAACAGGAAACTGGTTAAGTGAATTGTGAAACGTTCATATAATAAAATACTACATACCCAGTAAAATGAATGAGATAGATCAATATGTACTGACATGGCATGATATCTAAGACCTATGATTAACTGAAAAAAAATGAGGTACTTAACATCTGAGTAAAACAAAATAAACACCTACACTTTAAAATTTTCACCTAAGCGGATAATACAAAAAGAAGTGTCAAAAATATTCCAAAAGAAGGTAAGTAGCAAGTAATAAAGGTTGGGAGAGGCAAGGAGGAAAGGGAGAGGAACTACATAATAAAACTATAGTATAAAATTAGAGAAATTACAGGGCCAGCCCCTTGGCGCCAGCTGTTAAGTGCGCGCGCTCTGCTTCAGCAGCCCAGGGTTCTCGGGTTCTGATCCCAGCTCGCACCAACGCACCGCTTGTCAAGCCATGCTGTGGCAGCATCCCATATAAAGGAGAGGAAGATGGGCACGGATGTTAGCTCAGGGCCAATGGTCCTCAGCAAAAAAAGAAGAGGACTGGCATCGGATATTAGCTCAGGGCTGATCTTCCTCACCAAAAAAAAAAAACAGAGAAATTACATTTGAGTAGTACCTGATTTCGTAAAGTATTAACTAAATCAATTAAGTAGACCCAAGTATATATAAAAACAGTGTATATGAAAAAATTAATAGTTGCTAAAGATAAACACTCTGCCATTTGCAAAAAATAAAACTAGATCTTACACTTCACATTTCACACCAAAATTAATTGCCGATGAATTCAAGGTGCTAAAAAATGAAAGAGCCAGAAGAGAACGTGTGAACATTTGTATAACCTTAGAGTAAGAAAGGCTTAGCAATGTGTATCAGGAAAACAAAAACTTTTAGAGACCATGTGAGTGTAACTGGTTCTGGACTTGCCATCCCAATATAAAAAACTAGAAAATCAGATGAAATATATGAAACTAATGTTTTCAGACATTGGAAAAGAAGCAACACAAGGCTCTGTTGCCTGAGAGAAGGGAAATAACAAGATAAGCCCTATATCACTCCAGCTTTTGACTTGGAGGCACTTTCCAGATTGCTGGACAAAAAGGGGAAATCCAAGTAAAACACCCAGGTCTAGCTGAGTTGAGTTGAGAGAGATCAGAATTATGGGAGTTCAATGCAGATGAAATTTGCAAGAGGAACCTATACTATAATGAAAGAGCTCCAGAAATCAACATGTGGGTACTCTTGAGTCTTTGGCTGAATACTAGCTGCTCATGTGTAGGGTG